ACATTTTCATTGAAAATGAGGCTCACGCTCGAGAGGTGTGTGGGGGCGCCAAAACGGGACCCCCAACAACAACAACAACGCTCCCGCTCGAGACTTCCTCCTTCTTGACTCAGGGCCGACGCTCTTGCTCGCCACCGAAAGCCGCCGTCCCGACAACACCAGCGCTCCCGCCCGATACGTCCTCCCGTTTTACGCTGGACTGGCGCCTTACTCTTTTTTGAATTGGCGCTGCTCCCAGCAAGAACAGTGCTCCCGCTCGAGGCTTCCTCCACTTTTTACTCAAGGCGGTGCTCCTCCTCGCCGCCGAAAACCGCCGTCCCGACACAAGCAGCGCTTCCGCCCGAGACTTCCTCTCTTCTTACCCAAGGCGGTGCTCCTCCTCGCTGGACTAGCGCCCTACTCTCTTCAGTATTTGCGCCGCGCCCAGGAACAACAGCGGCCCTGCTCGAGACTTCCTCCCTTTCTGTTCAGGACCATGTCCTTGCCTCGCCGCCGACAGCCCCCATCCCCATCCAGGCAATCCTGTCGCTCGATACTTCCTTGTGCTTTACCCTTGGCTGGGACTCCACTGGCGGTCTCGCATCGGCGCAGCAAGGCGCGGGCATGTGTTTTCGAGGCGGGATCTGTTGAAATTCCTCGGAGGAGACGTTTGCAAGACCTCATTGGGCGGGATATCTGGGAATGGGTATAACGGGCTCCGCTATAGAACAATAGCCCCCCAAGATGGGGATGGTTTTCATGATGGTCGCATGTTTCGTGCGGAAACATCGCGCATGCGGGTAAAATGATTGTTGAATGTGAACTACTAAACAATTAATATTGTTGGAACCCCTCCAGGCGCTTTGGCGCTCTCGCCTCGGCGCCGACTACGTTTCCATTGAAAATGAGGCCCACGCTCGAGCGGTTTGGGGGGGCGCCAAAACGGCCCCCCAACAACAACAACAACAACAACAACAACAACAACAACAACAACAACAATCACAAAAACAACAACAACAACAACGACAACAACAACAACAATAACAACAACACCAACAACACCAACAACAACAACAACATCAGCAACAACAACAACAAGAACACCAACACCAACAACAACAACAACAACCACAGCAGCAACAACAACAACAGCAACAACAAACACAACAACAGCAACAACAACAACAAAAACAACAACAGCAACAACAACAACACCAACAACAACAACAACGCTTCCGCTCGAGATATCCTCCTTTTTCACTCAGGGCCGGTGCTCTTGCTCGCCGCCGAAAGCCGCGTCCCGACAAAACCAGCGCTCCCGCCCGAGACTTCCTCCCGTTTTACCTCTGACTGGCGCGCTACTCTATCTCTCATCGGCGCCGGCCCCTGCAACAACAACGCTCCCGCTCGAGACGCCCGTTTTTTACTTGAGGCGGTGCTCCTCCTCGCCGCCGAAAACCGCCGTCCCGACAAAACTAGCGCTCCCGCCAGAGATATCCTCCCGTTTTACGCTGGACTGGCGCCCTACTCTCTTTTGAATTGGCGCCGCTTCCATTTTTTTACTCAAGGCGGTGCTCCCCCTCGCCGCCGACAATCCCGACAAAACCAGCGCTCCCGACCGAGACATCTTCCCGTTTTACGCTGGACTGGCGCCCTACTCTTTTTTGAATTGGCGCCGCTCCCAGCAAGAACCACGCTCCCGCTCGAGGCTTCCTCTCTTTTTCCTCAGGACGCTGGTCTTGCTCGCCGCCGACAGCCCCCGTCCCAACAAAACAAGCGCCACCGCTCGAGACTTCGTTTTGTTTTACGCTGGACTAGCGCCCTACTCTCTTCAGTATGTGTGCCGTTCCCAGCAACAACAGCGGCCCTGCTCGAGGTTTCCTCCCTTTATATTCAGGGCCAGGTCCTTGCCTCGCCGCCGACAACCCCCATCTCCACCAAGGCGATCCTGTCGCTCGATACTTCCTTGTGCTTTACCCTTGGCTGGGGCTCCACTGGCGGTCTCGCATCGGCGCAGCCAGGCGCGGGCATGCGTTGTCGAGGCGGGATATGATGAAATTCTTCGGAGGAGGTGTTTGCAAGACCTCATTGGGCGGCATATCTGGGAATGGGAATAACGGGCTCCGCTCTAGAACAATCGTCCCCCCTAAGTGGGGGATGGTTACCATGATGGTCGCATGCTTCGTGTTGAAACATCGTGCATGAGGGTCAAATTATTGTTGTTGCTGCTGTTGTTGTTGCCGAGCTCTCACTACTGAAGAACAATATAGTTGATCCTCTCTCGTCCGGGGATTCTGTTTGTCCCAACCATCCTGTGGTGTTGGGTCCTCGTTTTGCCCCGCGTATCCTTCCTCCTGCTCCCGCTGCCTCCTCCCTCCGCCCTCCTCTCCCTCGTTGCCTCTGCTCACGGCGCACCCCTCACACGTATCGTAGCCCCATCGGGAGCTCCACCTAAGGGCCCAGTGGCGCAGTTCGCATGCGTCTCCCCCACCCAGGACAGTGTTTCGTGGCCCCATAGGGAGCTCCACCGAGGGTCCCAGTGGCGCAGTTCGCATGCGTCTCCCCCATCCAGGACAGCGTTTCGTGGCCCCATAGGGAGCCCCACCGAAGTCCCAGTGGCGCAGTTCGCACGCGTCTCCCCCACCCAGGACAGCGTTTCGTGGCCCCATAGGGAGCTCCACCGAAGGCCCCAGTGGCGCAGTTCGCATGCGTCTCCCCCGCCCATGACAGCCTTTTCGTGGCCCCATAGGGAACCCCACCGAGGGTCCCAGTGGCGCAGTTCGCATGCGTCTCCCCCATCCAGGACAACGTTTCGTGGCCCCATAGGAAGCCCAACCGAAGTCCCAGTGGCGCAGTTCGCATGCGTCTCCCCCGCCCAGGACAGCGCTTCGTGGCCCCATAGGGAACCCCACCGAGGGTCCCAGTGGCGCACTTCGCATGCGTCCCCCCCGCCCAGGACAGCGCTCCGTGGCCCCATAGAAGCTCCACCGAAGGTCCGAGTGGAGCAGTTCGCATGCGTTTCCCCAATCCAGGACAACGTTTCGTGGCCCCATAGGAGCCCCACCGAAGGCCCCAGTGGCGCAGTTCGCATGCGTCTCCCCCACCCAGGACAGCGTTTCGTGGCCCCAGATGGAGCTCCACCGAGGGTCCCAGTGGCGCAGTTCGCATGCGTCTCCCCCACCCAGGACAGCGTTTCGTGGCCCCATAGAGAGCTCCACCGAAGGCCCCAGTGGCGCAGTTCGCATGCGTTCCCCCGCCCAGGACAGCCTTTCGTGGCCCCATAGGGAGCTCCACCGAGGGCCCAGTGGCGCAGTTCGCATGCGTCTCCCCCACCCAGGACAACGTTTCGTGGCCCCATAGGGAGCTCCACGGTGGGTCCCAGTGGCGCATGCCGTGGCCCCATAGGGAGCCCCACCGAAGTCCCAGTGGCGCAGCTCGCATGCGCCCCCCCCACCCAGGACAGCGCTTCGTGGCCCCATAGGGAGCTCCACCGAGGGTTTCAGTGGCGCAGTTCGCACGCGTCTCCCCCACCCAGGATAAGTCGTGGCCCCATAGGGAGCTCCACCGAAGGCCCCAGTGGCGCAGTTCGCATGCGTCTCCCCCACCCAGGACAACGTTTCGTGGCCCCATAGGGAGGTCCACGGTGGGTCCCAGTGGCGCAGTTCGCATGCGTCTCCCCCACCCAGGACAGCGCTTCGTGGCCCCATAGGGAGCTCCACCGAAGGGTCCCACTGGCGCAGTTCGCATGCGTCTCCCCCACCCCGGCCAACCTTTCGCAGCCCCATCAGGAGCTCCACCGAAGTCCCAGTGGCGCAGTTCGCATGCGTCTCCCCAATCCAGGACAGCGCTTCGTGGCCCCATATGGAGCTCCACCGAAGGCGACAACTGCAGTCGCACGCGTCTCCCCCACCCAGGACAGCGTTTCGTTGCCCCACAGGGAGCTCAACCGAAAGCCCTAGTGCCGCAATTCGCATGCCTCTCCACCCACCCAGGACAGCGTTTCGTGGCCCCATAGGGAGCTCCACCGAAGGCAACAGTTGCTGCACACACATGCGTCTCCCCTACCCAGGACAGCCACTCGCGGTCCACAGGGATCTCCACCGATTGCGATACTCACGACGGCGGTACTCACAACTGCATATGGTTGGGTCTTTCGCCAGGCTAATTAATTCAAGTGCCTTTCCTGGGGCTCGCACACCTGATGTTTCCTTACAATTGGTTCGCAAATCGCGCTCTGGCGCGGGACTATCTCACAACTCATGCAGAATTCGTGCTCTCGCGTGAGACTTCCTCGCAATTTATTCAGGCGTCGTTCCTCCAACCCTTAGGAATCACGCTGTCGCTCGGGCCTTTCTCATGGTTTACTTGGGAATCGCGCTATCACTTGCGACTTCCTCGCGATTCATGCTCACGCTTCGGCAACCCGCCTGCTCGACCTGGCCGCCGGGGCCCGCCCCGCCCGTTAAGGTCTACCCGCCCGATCTGCCCGTCTGGTTCTGCCACGTGTTTTCTGCTCCTAGCCCCCCTCCTGCTAATCTCTCTCGTGCTCCATCCTCATCCCTCCCTCTTCCATCCGTCCTCGCTTCCCCTGTTTTAGGGGCTGCGCCAACTACACATGGCACGTAGGGAAGATATGCCCCCAAGGGGGGTACCATCGAAGACGAATAGGGCGGCTACCGAGGGTTTGGGATATACGTGTTGAATGGTATGCGAGCAGGTAGGAGCGTGCAGTCTTAAACTGAGTGTAGTTGTTATTGTTGTTAGTGTGTTGCTGTTGTTGTTGTTGTTGGTGGTGTTGGTGTTGGTGTTGTTGTTGTTGGTGTTGTTGTTGTTGTTGTTGTTGTTGTGGTTGCTGTTGTTGTTGTTGTTGTTGTTGTTGTTGTTGTTGTTGTTGTTGTTGTTGTTGTTGTTGTTGTTGTTGTTGTTGTATGGGAACTGCGTGTGCGTCCGCGTGCGCGCGAGAGTCGGCACGGTGGGAGCAACCAGTGCAAACTAACCTCACACACCGAATGGGGGTCGGCGGCTCTCACTTCATCTTCCGTCTGCTTCAAAAGCAGCGGGCTCGGCTGCGATTAGTAGTGGGCTGGTTCGACTTTGGATTGAGCCGCGGTTTTCCTGCCTTCCCGCGTCTGTCCGAGACTAATCGCTCTCGACTGAACTAGGATGGGGTCGGTCATAGATCCAGCCTCAACTTTTCATGCTTGCGCGAACACTCCACTTTCGGAACTTCCTCCTCCTCCTCCTTCCTCCTCTTGCCACCTCTGTCGTCCTTTCCTCCACGTCTTCTTCTACCTCTTTTTCCCTATCCCCCTCCTCCGCCTCCTCCTTGATTTGTGGGCTTACGCCACCTAGTCGACCCCTTTGTGATGCTTGGGCTTCTTGGGGTTTCTTGGGGCATCTTGTTGACTTCTCGGGGGCCTGTTTGCGGCTTCCGGGGTCTCTTTGCGGCTTTGGGGCGGAAGGCCCGCAATTTCAGGTTGAGTTTCTTCTCTAGGATTCTGATTGGGGCTCTCTTGAGCTGCCTTGGGTGGCTCTGGGGCTTGGGAATGTGACAGACTGAGAAGGAATCTGGAGGAATCTGGGAGAATCCCAAGGGATTTTCAGCAAGCCAAAAGAACCGAGCGATATCTGGAGGAATCCAGTGGAATCCGGAGGAAGCTGGAGAAATCCGGTGGACAGAAGGAATCCTGAGGAATCTGCAGTTGCAAGGGAATCTGGAGGAACCGAACGGAATCCTGAAGAGTCTGGAGGATTCTGGACGAACCTGGAGTAATCCCCAGAATCCCAACGAATCATTCGGAACCGATAGGAGTTACAGAAGCTCAGAAACATATGTTCAGATTCAGGCGGCGACCAGAGGAATCGCCAATGTTATTCAATCAACGCACGGCTTTCAAGATTATGACCTGGATGTGCCGAGCCAAAGTGACCATGCTACACCACAGGATCTTCAAGCTAATCTACAAGTCAGCATGGCAGGAGTAATCTTCACAGTGCAACTTCGGCGACAACCCGTTGGCCAGCGCCCGCACCTACCAGACCAGAGCTTGCTGGGACAGCGTCTGGGCTGTGGGCACCCGCAGGGAAGAACAGAAGGCAGGCTTCGAGCATGCCCACAGAGGTCAACAGAAGCTATCCTGGGAATCGCCATTCGCGCACGTTTACGGAGCGCACTGGCGACTACACCGTGATTCTCACAACTCAGAAGTGGAGTGGATGAGGGGATGTGGCATGTTCATAGATACATTGCGCCCTGCATGGCGACCCCCATGTATTTCGGAGGAGACCGGAGAATTCGCCAGAGGCCACGCTCCACCTCGATTCGCGGATTCTCCTCGGGAGATCGCCGAGGTGAGCCAGCCGCCGATGATGCCGCCGCACCCCTTGGACAACGCCTTGCAGGCGGAAGGTGGACGCCTCTGGATTCAGGTAGATTGCGCGGCCTTGTCGGAGACGTTGGCCGGACGCGCAGAAATGCGATCGGACCGTCACGTGCCAGCGTTCCGGCGTATCTCTCAAATGATTATCCGACAACATGTGCATGGCATGCGGCTTCTGCATGATGCTTTGGATGTTATCTTGTGGGCTCCTCGCGAGTTCAGCGTCCTCGCAGACCATTGCGTGAATGCAGCGCTGGACGGACAACGATCCTGGTCGAATGGCCCCGAGCTTCCCGCGGATGGCACTAGCAAGCGCAGTCTGCGGGTGTGTACCGACGGCGGCCTACGGCGCGACGGCGAAGGGCGCCATGGGTTTCGCTGTCTTGCACGCCTCCGGAGGCGGGGACAGTGGCCGGTACAGGTACAGCATGATGTGGAGAGACTGGGAGCCAATTCATGGGCTCGCATCTGCGTTCGAGGCCGAGACTTTTGCACGAGGCTTTGGCATTCGAAGCGGGCTTGCGGTGGCTAGCGAGCGCGCTAATACCCTGCTGACCTTAGACCACTGGCTCTGAGGGCGGGCCATGGCCCACGCTCAGTCGAAAGAAGAAGGAATCATAGAAACCCTGGAGTCTTGAGAAACCTTGGGGGGTCCTGGGGGATTCGAAGAAAACCAGAAGAATCTAAAGGTATCCAAAGGAATCCGCAGGAACCTAAAGAAATCTAGAGGAATCTGGAGCAGCCCCCAAAAAACCCAGAGGATGCCTGGGGAATCCTGGTGAACCCGGAGGGGCCCTGAGGAGCCTGGAGGGATCTGGAGATAATTCCCCAGGGAATCCTGAGGAATCCCGAGGAACCTGGAGGAATCTGGCAACCTGGTGGTATCCGTCTCGAAGAGAAGCGGCAAAGCGCCCCGCAGGCAGTGGCGCGGACGGCGGCAGCCGCCGGAAACTGTGGGGACTCAAGCCGCCGCGTCGTCACCGCATGGGTAACAGAGGTAGAACCCCGAGGCGCGAGGAGCCTGCGCATCTGGACGCGTCGGCGCAGAGTCTGTGGAGCCATCTCTCCTCCTCTTCCTCCTCCTTTTCCTCCTTCTCCTCCTCCTCCTCCTCCTCCTCCTCCTCCTCCCCCTCCTCCTCCTCCTCCTTTTCCTCCTCCTCCTCCTCCTCCCTCCTCCTTCTCCCTCCTCCTCTCTCCTCCTCCTCCTCTTCCCTCCTCCTTCTCCTCCTCTTCCTTCCTCTCCTCCTCCTCCTCCTCCTCCTCCTCCTCCTCCTCCTCCTCCTCCTCTTCCTCCTTCCCCTTTCCCCCTTCCTTCTCCACCTCCTCCTCCTCCTCCTCCTCCTCCTCTTCCTTCTCCTCCTCCTCCTCCTCCTCCTTCGGTATCCGCCTCGAAGAGTATGGGCGAAGCGCCCCGCGGAGGCAGGCAGCGGCGCGGACGGCGGCAGGCGCCGGAAACTGTGGAGCCCCGATGCGCGAAGAGCCTGCGCATCGGGACGCGTCGGCGCAGAGTCTGTGGAGCCATCTCTCCTCCTCTTCCGCCACCTCCTCCTCCTCCTCCTTTTCCTCTTACTCCTCCTCCTCCTCCTCCTCCTCCTCCTCCTCCTCCTCCTCCCTCTCCTCCTCCTCCTCCTCCTCCTCCTCCTCTCCCTCCTCCTCCTCCTCCTTCTCCTCCTCCTCCTCCTCCTCCTCCTCCTCCTCAAACTCCTCCCTCCTCCTCCTCCTTCCCTCTCCTCCTTCTCCTCCTCTTCCCTCTTCCCTCCTCCTCCCTATCCTCCTCCTCTTCCTCCTCCTCCTTCTCCTCCTCCTCCTCCTCCTCTTCTTCCTTCTCCTTGTCCTCCTCCCCCCTCCTCCTCCTCTCCTCCTCCTCCTCCTCTTCCTGCTGCTCCTCCTCTCCTCCTCCTCCTCCTCCTCCTCCTCCTCCTCCCCTTCTCCCCCTTCTGCTTCTTCTCCTCCTCCTCCTCCTCCCTCCTCCTCCTCCTCCTCCTCCTCCTCCTCCTCCTCCTCCTCCCCTTCCTCCTCCTTGTCCTCATCCCCCTCCTCCTCCTCCTCCTCCTCCTCCTCCTCCCTCTTCCTCCTCCTCCTCCTCCTCCTCCTCTCCTCTCCTCCTCCTCCTCCTCCTCCTCCTCCTCCTCCTCCTCCCCCTCCTCCTCCTCTCCTCCTCCCCTCTCCCTCCTCCCCCTCCCCTTCCCTCCTCTTCCTTCTCCTCCTCCTCCTCCTCCTCCTCCTCCTCCTCCTCTTCCTTCTATCACGCCTCCTTCCTCCTCCTTCTCTCCTCCTCCTCCTTTTATCCGCCTCCTCCTCCTCCTCCTCCTCCTCCTCCTCCTCCTCCTCCTCCTCATCATCATCACGATCACCATCATCATAACCATCATCATCACCATCATCATCATCACATTGCTCCCTCTTGGTAGCATGTTGTGGCATCCTTGGGCCTTTTCGGGGCCCTCGGTGGAGCCATTCGGGGGCGTTTGGGACCGTCTCGGGTCAGTGGTGGGGTCCTTCCGGGGACCGTCTCGAGGGTTCGTGAACCTCCTGGGGGCCCTCATGGGCCGTCTTGGACCCCCCTTGGAGGTTTCTTTGATCGTCTTTGGGCCTTTTTTCATTGGCCTCTTTGGCCGTTTTGGAGCGATCTTGGACCTCTCTTGGGCTGTCCTGGCTGCTGCGAAGAACAGAACAGCGAAGACGCAACCATAATCTTTCCGTCGTGGGTTGGGGCGTTTTTTCCTTTTGGGGGCCCTCTCGCGAGTCCTCTTGGAGCCCTCTAAGCGGGTTTGGGGGGCCTTATTGCGATGTCATGAGGCCACATAGGGGCATTTTGGGGCTGTCTGGCTGTCTGTTGCCGCGCGGAGGCCATCTTGGACAGTCTTGAGGCGTCCTTGGACAGTATCGAGGCCATGGGAAGCCGTCCGGGACCACTGCTTGACCGGATGCCCCCCCCCCCCACCGGAGGATGCGGGGACCCTCCCCTTTCCAAACCGACGGGGCCAGGCTCTCAGGGAAGGATTCGAGGTGGGGGAGGGTAACCGTCTTTCATGCCGAGCAAGCCCCAATGGGTTGGCGGAGTCCGTATCCTCCGTCCTCCCTCCCCTCGCTCTCTTCATCGTGTCGTTCCCCCTCCCCCTCTTCCGCTGCCACTTTTGACTCAAGGGGCCTGCTCATAAATTCAATCCTCCTGGCTGATACTGGATTATTTGGCCGCGTTCTCCAGGACGGGCCGTATTCTCGGCGCGCCGTGCGAGACCTCTACAGCGTGTGATGGGGCTCGGTCGTTCTTAGTGATGAGCGCATCATGCCGTGCGCAGTTGCTGCCCCGTCTGGAGGCTCTCGGCGCAGCTTTCTCTGGCTGGCGGCCATGCCCGTGGCGGCGGGGCTCTCGTGGTGGGCCGCCTGCAGTTTGTATGTTACTTGCTACCTTCAGTTCGTCATCGGTCGATATGCAGCGACATCGTGTTGAAAGCTTCAGACCCACAACATATCACCCATGTTCCGCAGAAGCATCAGGGTATCATCGAGGATGTACTTGACGAAGGGTGCTCTTCTTTGCGCGCGGGCACCCGCATTGCTGGCGGCACGGTCAAGGACGGTGCTGGGCTGCTCTGGACCCTTTGGGCGAGCTCACGGAAGCTATCGGCCGTTCGGTGATCGTGGCTCGTGTCGTCGCCGCTCTGGTAGCCCATGTCCTGCCACTGCGGCCTCCCGTTGACACCGAGTGGTGTGGAGCTCGTGCGCGCGCGGACGAAGCCCATCGCTACCCGCCCGCTCCACCCGCGGTGCTGGGCAGGTCGTGCCCTTTCAGTACGCTCAGTGCCTTCGTAGGGTGGAGGCTGCGGCAGCGACCTCCGCCTGGCTTTTGCCCTCTGCGCTGCTGCTTTCGAGCGGCCCGATCCTCGCTGTTGGGCTGCGGCCCGCAGCAGCGGCAGCTCTGATCGTGCCTGCTGGGCCTGCGAGGCCTGCGGAGAGCGGTCGGAGGCGCATGCTCCTTCGGCAGCCATGCTGCGTACCGCCCGCCGGCCCGGTGGGCAGCAGGTCACCGGGCACGGCTTCCCTCGGGTATCCCCAAAAGGGTAACCGTGTGGCGATTCTTCAGGGATTCGGGGTGACCGCATGGGTTTGGGACTCGCGGGTCGTTCTCCGAGGACGTCTCGGTGACGGGCCGTGCGGTGAGGTCTTTGAGGGTTTCCAGGTGCCCGCACGGTCTGATTGCACCGTCGTGGGACCCCATTTCTCCGATGTCCCCACCCTGAACTCACTGGCGAGCCCGGGGGGCAAGTGAGAATGGGCGGGCCTTCTCAGAAGGCTCGGAAGTCCCCCAGCCTTCTGAGAAGTTTTTTGAGCTTCCCAGGAAACGCAACAAATCTTTCGGAAGGCGGGAGGGCTTCTGAAAAAAGTCCCGCCGCCTTCTGAGAAGGCCTTATCCTTCTGACTCTCCCCCCTTGCTTACCTCCGAGTCGTGGGACCCCAGTTCTCCGATACCTCCATGCTGAATGCTGCTCAGGCTGCGTGTGCAGGTTCGCGCCTGGTGGCACAATTCGCTGCAACGGCACCCCCGTTGAGATAGCCCTCCGCCAGCGCAGTCGCCCTGCCTAGCCGCCGACGCAAAAGAAGTGTAGGCTCGCGCCCGCTGGGCAGCCCAGGCGGGCAGCGGGGGCGCGCCATCTCGCGGGTCGTTCTCGACCTGATCCTTGCTGTCCTTGCTGGCTGGCGCCCCGCGCATGTGGGGGCCGTGCGTCGCGCCCCTTCCGCCGGCGGCAAGCGAGGGGGGGGAAGTGAGAGGGAGAAGGCCTTCTCAGAAGCCGGCGGGGCTTCTCAGAAGCCCTCAGGCCTTCTGAGAAGGCTTCTGCATCTTCGGGGAAGGCTCGGAACACCTCTCAGAAGGCCAGGGAGCCATCGAGCCTTCCGAGAAGGCCCGCCCCTTCTCCCTTCCCCCCCGGGCCCGCCGCCAATCTTTGCCGTCGCGGCTCAGGCCGTGTGTCGCTCATCCGCGCCCGTCTTTTTGCTTCGCTCTGCAGTGTGACTCCAGCGGTCGCGGACAGAAGAACTCCCTCCCATTCCCCTTGCGGAGCTCCTCTCGGGGAAACGTAAGACTCGAGTACGCCGGGACTCGGGTTTGCCAACGTTTTTTGACGAGCGCGTCCGGGATTTTGACGGTCAAGGTTTCGTGGGATGTTTGTAGCGAGAGTTTGTGTCAAGTTTCAGATTGGGTCTCGTCATTTTCATGATGGGCCCGTCAGGCCAACTCGAATCCCCCGAACCCGAGTCTTACGTCTCCTGGATTCCCCTCGTGTTTCTTTCTTGTTTTTCTTTATATTTCTCCTCCGCCTTCTCAGGATCATACGGTCGAGCCTGCGAGCAGGAATCCTCCTCTCGGAAGGCTGGGGCTGCGCTTCTCCATCAACGTGTTGGAACGCTGACCCAGGTTCGTGGGCACGTTCCCCCAGCGTGAACAACGAAGTTGTCCCAGGTTTGTGGAAGAAACTTCTGGAAGGTGGGCCCAGCGCTTTCTCATGCTCATTGTATGGACCGTACCCCCGGCTATAACTTTGCCACTGTCTTCCGCTACCCACCGCGTCGTCTACACGACTCGTGAGTTTTGCCCCACCGCTACCCGGTGCTGCCGACCGCTCCACCGCTCTTCGCGTAGCCGCCGCTGCGCACAGCTCCATCGATACCCACCGCCCCACTTGTCACCACCGCTGATCTCTGCCGCTGTAATGCGTGAATAAAGGTAACTATGTGAACATGTCATACGTGTGCGCTGATGTATACCACAGATCAACAGGTCCCGTTCGGTTTGTATGTTGTCTTCACTTGAGGTTGTGCTTGTCGTTCTATGTGTATGTATTGTCCTCGTTTCCCTCTCTGTGTGTCTCGTTCTCTTCCTCTCTCTCACTCTCACTATATTTCTCTGTCCCTCGTTATACTTGTTTGTTATGTCTTATTCCTTGCTCTACATATTATGCTGCTCCCTCTCTACTTTCCCCATTCGCTCTCTCTCTCTCTATCGCTCTCTCTCTCTCTCTCTCTCTTTCTTTCTATCTCTGCACAGTCTCCTTGACCACTTTTTCCAACGGCTGCGCATATGTCATTGCAGATGTGTGCTTTACACCTGCATGTTCTCTTTTTGATATCGTTGTTCTTTCTCTTTGACCTACCCTCTGTGTCTCGAGATCGTTTCACCTTGCCCTCTTTCAGCCATCCAACTCCCCGCTATCCTTCCCTGCATTCTTCAATCAGTGCTTGCTCTAGGCGTACTTACGCCGCAGTGATCGGCTGGCATGTCTGGGTCTCCGCCCAGTGCCCCCCCGTGGGCGCCGCGGGGGCACACCGTGCCCCGCGAGGCGGCCACGAGGCGCCCACCATGATGGGGGGCGCCTCGTGGGAGAGAGGACGCTGCCGATGTTGCGATGATGCGATGATGCGATGGTGCTGATGAGGATGCTGCTGATGTTGACTATGATGGGTTTCTTAGTAAGCGTGGTGGGGGGCACCCCTCCAACGGGGGTCAACCTCGCCTCGTCGTCGCGCCCGACGGGGGTCGGAGCGCCTTCGGCGCGTGGTGGCTGCCCGTGACGGGGGTCGATGTGGGGCTGTCGGCGAGGGTGACGCCTCTCCGACGCTTATTAAGAATCTCGGAGTATGATGGGATGGTGACGTGATGGCGATAATGGTGCTGGTGGTGAAAGTTGTGGTGAGACTGGTGGTTCGGATGTGGACGCTGATTGGATGGCCGGCTGATGGCGGTGAAGGCGATTCTGATGACGATGGTGTCGATGCTGTGAGATGATTGCGTTGATGGTCATTATGCATACGGTTAGGGCGATGGTGATGAGATGATGAGATGAGGGTGAGTGTGGCGATGCTGTTGACGATTCCGATAAGCTTGTCAAGGTATATGAGGATGGTGATGACGATAACGACGTCTACGACAATGATTGGATGTTGAGATGCTGGCGATGCTGGTGATGACGATGCATTCCATGAGGACGGTTATGATGATGCCAATACAAGTGATGGTCTGATGAGTTGATGGTAACGATTGTGAGGATGACGAATCCGAGAGGATGCTCATGCCGATGATGTTCTTGCTGATGGTGTTATCGGGGTGATTGTGGTGATGGCGATGAGGAGGAGTGTTGAGAATTCGAATGTTGGTGATGAGATGGTGAGATGACAAGCGGATCGCGACGGTTCTGCGGCGGTGAGGTGATGAGATGATACTCGTACGGTTGATGACGAAGCTCATGCTGGTATTGGTTATGGTGATGTTGATGATGGTGGCGATGAGGAGGACCCTGTTGACGATTCGAATTGGGATGACCGAGATAATGATGAATATGATGATGATGGGGGTGAAGTGGATGACCATGCTGATTGTTATTTGCGATGCTGATGCTGCTGATGCTGCTGATGATGATATTTCCACGGCGAGCGGTGAATGGTGACACAGATTGTTGTGTTGGTGTCGATGATAATGGTGCTGACGAGCATGGTGACGGTGACCAGGATGTTGCTTATGATGAGGATGGTGATGATGATGATTATGATGATGATGATGCTGATGATGATGATGCTGTTGATGATGATGATGATGATGATGCGATTGTTGTTGTTGATGATGCTGATGGTGATGCTGATGCTGATGCTGATGCTGGTGATGGAGGTGCTGATGCTGGTTTTGGTGCTGGTGGCGATAACGATGGTGATGCGGATGATGATAACCACGTGGTGGGGAACCAGGGAGGTGTACGCGATGGCCGTGCCTTTGTTCGCCGCGACGCCGGAGTGGCTCTACCGCCTCCGCAAGACGGTGCCGTTCGGGTTCCTGCAGCCCGCCATGGCGCCCTCCCCACGATGGCCCGCCTGGGCGTGCTGGAGGAAGGAGGGAAATGGGGAACGAGGGGGTGAGGGAGGGAGGGAGGGAGGAGGGAGGAGTTGGAGGATGAGTAAAAGGACGAGGGGGGGAGGGAGGAGGGAGGAGTTGGAGGATGAGTAAAAGGACGAGGGGGGGAGGGAGGGAGGGAGAAGTTCGAGGATGCGTTCGAGCGATTTCGACATGCGGCTCGAAAGGCCCGCTTGGCGGACTGTGATGTCAATGTTGGAAAACATGTGGTTTGCCTAGCAATTCGCAAGAGCGCGCATGTTTTCTTGTTTTTGAAAGCTGGCGTTGCAAAACATGCGTTCTTATATGTTTTCGGTACACTCGATTTTGACTTCCCCACGACACCTAAGGTTTTTGAAGGATTTGGGCATGCGCGCGCGACGACGCGCGCGTGTGCACTTCGTCCATTTCTCTTGCAAGGGGTCTCTGGACAACTGATCATTTTTGACAAACGAGTATGTGCGCATAGTATTTTTTGCTGAGGGTAAGGGGGGGGTGTCGATACAGGCCTGGCTGGGATGGTACGTGTACAGGTTAAGGATGGATCTTTGGGCAGAATCATTTGCGAATTGCAACACGAAAAGGGGGCGAGCAAATCCAGTGTGTGTGTGTGTAATCCAGTGTATGGACAACCCATATTGTGCAACCAATGGGCAGCAATCCAGCTGGTGCAATCGATGTGTCGCAATCTATGTCGAGCAACCAATGTCGCGCAATCTATGTTGTAGAATGCATGTGGGTCACTCTATGTTGAACAATCTATGTGGTGCAGTTTATGTGGTGCAACCAATGTTGTGCAATCCATGTGGTGCAATCTATGCGGGGCAATTCACTTTGACCGTCTTGAAGCTGTCCTCTCCACTGCTCGTGCAAACATCCCACCCTCCCACCCGCAACTTGGTCGCAAGACCTCTTCAGACAAGACCGTGACGATAGGTACCAGATGGCACTTGGCCACGACACCGACGACGACAGCGACAGCGACAACGACGACGACGGCGCCGCCGACACCGACGACGACGACACCGACGACGTCTCCAACGACTTCGACGACGACAGCGACCACGACGACGACGACACCGACGACGACGACGATGACGATGACAACGCCGACGACGCCGACGACGCCGACGCCGACGACGACGAAGACAGCGACGCCGACGACAACGACGTCGCCAGTGAAGACGACGACGAGGGAGGAGGGAGGACGACGACGGCGACAACGACGACAACGACGACAACGACGAGGGAGGAGGGAGGCTGGCGACGACGCGAACGACGAAGAAGGAAGAAGGACGGCGACGCCGACGAGACAACGACGAGGGAGGAAGGAAGACGACGACGACAACGACGACGATGACGACGACAGCGACAACGACGACGGCGCCGCCGACACCGACGACGACGACACCGACGACGTCTCCAACGACGTCGACGACGACAGCGACCACGACGACGACGACACCGACGACGACGACGACGACGACGATGACGATGACAACGACGACGACGCCGACGACGCCGACGCCGACGACGACGACGAAGACACCGACGCCGACGACAACGATGTCACCAGTGAAGACGACGACGAGGGAGGAGGGAGGACGACGACGGCGACAACGACGACAACGACGACAACGACGACAACGACGAGGGAGGACGGCGACGACGCGAACGACGAAGAAGGAAGAAGGACGGCGACGCCGACGACGACAACGACGAGGGAGGAAGGAAGACGACGACGACAACGACTACGATGACGAAGACGACGGCGACGAAATAGGAGGGACGACGACGAGGCGCCGACGACGGCCACGGCGACAACGACGACG